TGCACAGAATCCCAGAGGGGCTGGGGTTGGAAGGGCCCTCTGGAGATATCCAGGGCAGGGTCACCTGGAGGAGACGATACAGGTGTGTTTGGGATGTTTCCCTGTCTGGAGAGACCGCCCACCCTCCCTGCTCGTTCTGGCCGCTCCTCCGTCCCCTCACCCCTGTCCCCCTCACCCCTGTCCCCCTCACCCCTGTCCCCCTCACCCCTGTCCCCCTCCCCCCTGTCCCCCTCACCCCTGTCCCCCTCACCCCTGTCCCCCTCATCCCTGTCCCCCTCACTCCTGTCCCCGTACCCCCCTGTCCCCGGTGCGGTCCCCACGTGCCCTCCCGCCTCGGGACTACATCTCCCAAGAGCCCTTGCGCGCAGCTCCAGCCAATAGCGCGCGGCCTTGCTCAGCCATCGAAGTGCCGCGGTGCACGTCGGGAGCTGTAGGCACTCCCTGCCGTCAGCTCTGCCTAGAGCTACACATCCCAGAATGCCCCGGGAAGCACGAGCCAATGAGCAGCGGGCGTGTTGGCGCGGCGCGCAGGCGCGCTGGGGGCGGGCGGCCGCGGCCTCATGTGGAGGTCAGGGGAGCGGCGGGGCGGGAGGGCGGTGGTGGGTCCGGGGGTCCCGCAGGGTCCCGGGGGTTGCCGGGGCCGGGGGGGAGCCCAGAGCGAGCCGAGCCGCGGCCTGAGGGCGGGAGGGAGCGAGAGAGCGAGGCCTTGACTCACGGGGCGCTCGTCCTGGGGGCGAGCGGCCTAGGAGGGAACGGGGAGGGGGAGGCGGGAGGGGGGTCCGGGGTGCGGGAGAGGGGTCGGGGTGGGAGTGGAGGGGTAAGGAGGGGATGGGGGGAGCAGGGAGTGGGCTTGGGGGGGTGCCCGGGGTGCTGCGGGGTCCGAGCCCAGGAGGGGTCGCGAGGGGAGGAGACCCCCGGGGCTGGGGGGACCCCAAGGGTTGAGGTGTCTGGTGGGGGAGAAGGAGCTGCTGGGGTTTTGGGAAGGGGTCGATCCCCAGCTCCATGGACACCCCCCCGACCTTGCTGGGCGAGGTTTTGACGGTCCCGGGGGGGTGTTTGCAGGAGGGAATTCCAACGGGGGCTGGAGCTGCAGGGGTGAAATGGCTGCGAAGGTGTTTGAGAGCATCGGGAAGCTCGGCCTGGGTTTGGCTGTTGCAGGTGGAGTCGTGAATTCTGCTCTGTACAACGGTGAGTGGGACGAGCTGGGCGCTTCAGGCCACTTTATTTTATGCTTTTGTCAGTGTTTTGCCTTCTGTGGGCTTTTACTGCCAAATAAAAAGAGCCCCCAGGCCTTGCTGGGCTGGTTTGTACCTCGAGCATTGCACAGTCAGGAGGGCTGGGAGGTCCCTTCTCCAGAAGCTGTCAGGGAGCTGCTCCGTGGGGAGCCCAGCCCGTTCCCGGGGGGTGGTTTTTGGGATTCCCTGACGTGCCTTTTCCCTCCCCAGTGGATGCAGGACACAGGGCCGTGATCTTCGACCGGTTCCGAGGGGTGCAGGACGTGGTGGTGGGGGAAGGGACCCACTTCCTGATCCCCTGGGTGCAGAAGCCCATCATCTTCGACTGCCGCTCCCGCCCCCGCAACATCCCCGTCATCACCGGCAGCAAAGGTGAGCCCTGGCACGGGGAACGGGGCACTGGGGCTGCCCAGGGTTTGTTCCCTCCTGCTGGGAGTGGAGATGGGGCCCTAAAGCAACGGCCCTAAACTGAGCCACAACTTCCACCTCAGTGTGAGGGAGAAATTATCTCCGTGGGGGCGGCAGAGCCCTTGAGAGGTGAGCAGGGAGGCTGTGGAGTCTCCCTCTCTGGAGACATCCCAAACACACCCCTGTCACCTGCTCCAGCTGCCCCTGGGGTGGCACTGGGTGATCTCCAGAGG